TAGTTCACCTACAATCTCAGAGCATTTTGAACCCACCAACAAAACAATTGGGCCAAGCCTCCCACACAGAACCCCCATGTGGGCCACAGCAACGCGTGGCAGGGGACGGCTAGTAATATTATATTTCTGGCTGGAATTACACTTTAAAAATCTACCTGCTCCAACTTACGTACAAATTCTATTTAAAAAGGATATCCTTATAAAAATTAACTGAAGATCCGCTTATACTTTTATTAATTTTATTGCTTACTAGTCATGGGCCCAGTTACGGTTTCATCTGTTTATTTTCATGTTTTCATACAGTTTGTTTCATTCAGATGGCACGAAATGGTACAGTCCCCTCTGATATGGAAATATTAGTGAAATGAAAGGAAAGAGGGAATGGTAACCAGGTAGGTTTCCCAATTGGAAGGGAGAAAACCAGGGAGAAATGGCATCGAAACTGGCTAGTTACACCCCTCTAGCCCTCAAACTGACAGGAAGGGGAGCATGGGAAGCCCGCCTATTGCTGCCAATGGGACAAAAATATTCATTTTTTCGGACCTGGGATTTTTTTTTTAGTCATGTCAGGAGCAACTTGAGAAACTGCAAGTTGCTTCTGGTATGAGAGAATTGGCCGTCTGCAAGGACGTTGCCCAGGGGATGCCCAGATGAATTGATGTTTTTATCATCCTTGTGGGAGGCTTCTCTCATGTCCCCGCATGAGGAGCTGGAGGTGACAGAGGGAGCTCATCCGCCTCTCCCCGGATTCGAACCTGTGACCTGTCGGTCTTCAGTCCTGCCGGCACAGGGGTTTAGCCCACTGCGCCACTGGGAGCACCTGGGATGAAAAAGCTCAATTGGAAAACCACCCACTTTCAGGAGAGGCGCTTGAAAATAAAAACGGTGTCTTACGAATGAAACAAACAGAAATGGATAGTGATTTTATATAAATGCACAAGACTATCGCTTACTATCCTAATTGTTTTGTGAGCGACAAACAATATATATCCATAATTGACACTCCTTATAGAAAGCTATTGAAAATCAGTTTAGATTAGATGCAAAATACTTGCAAACATGTAATTCCATCAAAGAAATGTTCTGAGTTATGTAAAATGAAAAGGCTAGTGTATTAAAATAGCAGTGAGGCAGTGGTTATGATGATTTCGATTTCAACCATAAAATTCACTGGACAGTAGCCTTGTGCGAGTCACTGTATCTCAGTTTAGCCTAGCTCACAGGAATTTTGCAGGCATAAATCTGGATATCCCCATGAATACTGCTTTGTTATATCTTTATATGCTTTTCATTTATATCTTTAAAGGACATGAACAGAGTTTAGTAAGACTGGGGTGAGATGCAAAAATTCTTGGGCTCCTGAGCATTGAAAAAAATCCAACTAAATGAATGTTGGAATATCAACAGACGAGTGTAACTATCATGTCTGATGCTAAATCTCAGCATATCCACATCTTCTGTAGGTATTCACATATATTAGCATAATTTAGATAAGACAAAAAACAACATGCACTTGGAAATCAGAATTGCTAGGCCCCGAAAGTATAAATACATTTTTGTTTTCCTAGATTTAGTACATTATTATATTTGCAGTATCCTCTGTGTCCTCGGGAACTTCTCAGATGCTAATAGGAGAATATCAGGTTATCAAGAAATGTGTTCATAAGTATACTGCAGCTACGGTTCACAGCTGTTATAACTGGAGGTAAAAAAGGAGAACCATGGCAACTAAGCCTGACAAACCGGCTATTAGCTAAAAATAAAACGAATTCTTTCTTTTCTTACAATCCTAGATTACAGGCCTTTCAAGACACTGTCAGTTAGCTAAGTAAAAGCATGCTACATAAATAGACTTGGATTCTATTTCCAAGATAGTCTCATTATCAGTATATGCAAATATAGGCTTTGCAAACCTTTATTGTCCCAAACATTTCAGAGAAGGAATATTAAACCCTTACTAACTCTAGTATGACTTAGATTTTTGGCCTTGTTTTGTGGACGAGGGAGGATTCCCACATCTTTTTTCTTCCCATATTCATAGCCCGCTTACCTATCTATCTAGGTCAACATTTACTCTAGGTAGATCAGGGATGGGAATTGTAAAGCTCTCCAAAACTGTAAGTCTCATTAATCTAATCAGCACCCCCAACCAGGGGCGGCTCGTCCATTACGTGAAGTAAGCGGTCGCAGAACACTTTTTTTTTGCCAGGGCCTCTGTAAATGCCCCTCGACCGCCACTTGAGGAGCGCCCCCTCAGCTCACAACAGCCCTAGCAGTCCAGGGGGAGCCTCGGCTTTCTTGCCTCGCTGCCAGGCGATCCTCTTCCCAAAGGGGCCGGGCCCTTGAGCCTCGCCTAGCCCCCCTCGTTCCTGCTCCACCCGGCCACCGGGTGCGCAAGCAGAGCCGGCGCTCAATCGTTCTCCGCGTTCGATCCCTTCCCCATGACCGGCTCCCTTTCCCGATCCCCCGGCGCTCCACCCACCTCCTCTCCTCTCCCCAATCCGCAGGTGGGCCAAGGGGCGGAGCCGCCGCGCCTGGCCCAGAGGCATGTCTGAAGACTCTAGTGTGCGCACCAAAAGTTGCCTCTTCTCCTGACTTTCTCTTCAGCCATTGGGACCAAGAGAGAGAGAGAGAGAGAGAGAGAGAGAGAGAGCCCCTCCGGCTGGAGGTATCTCCCACCTCCGCTCCCTCTTTTGTTTTTGCGCCTACTTTCAGGAAAGGTGGGCATCTCCACCTCTCTCTCTCTCTCTCTCTTGGTCCCAATGGCTGAGGAGAAAGTCAGGAGAAGAGGTGACTTTTGGTGCACATGCCGGGGTCTTCAGGCACGCCTCCGGACCCAAAGCGGGCCAGGCAAGGGAGCAAGTGCGGCAAGTGTAGTTAATGGGATGTATAGTTCACCTACAATCAAAGAGCATTCTGAACTCCACCAATGATGGAATTGAACCAGATATGGCACACAGAACTCCCACAATGAACAGAAAATATATATCAATGATTGGTTGGGGGAGGGGGGCGCCAAAATACTGTTTGCTTACCATTGAAAATTACCTAGGGCCGCCTCTGCCCCCAACAGTGTCAAATACTTCAGTCCAACAGAATCTGGTGGGCCACACATCTCTGACCCTATCTAGGGAAACTCTGATCTAAGAAATGTTATAAAAAGGTAAAGGTTTTCCCCTGACTTTAAGTCCTGTCATGTCCAACTCTGGGGTGTGGTGCTCATCTCCGTTTCAAAGCCGAAGAGCTGGCGTTGTCTGTAGACACCTCCAACGTCATGTGGCTGACATGACTGCATGGAGCACCATTACCTTCCTGCCAAAGTGGTACCTATTGATCTACTCACATTTGCATATGTTATACTGCATTCAATTATTATTATTATTATTATTATTATTATTATTAATTTTATTTCTTATCCACCTTTTCTCATGGCTCGAGGTGAGTTACAACATAGCTAAAAACACATAATCAGCTTAAGCATTCTATAAAATACCCATATTAAAATGTATTTCTATAAAATACATATTTAAATACACAGCACAATGATTAAAGCACAGGAGGTTAGTTCAAAATTCATGATTCAAAGTTGACTGGATAGGCCTGCCAGAAGACATAGGTGGGTTTTAAATTCTAACAGTTCATTTAGCTGTCAGAGCTCTACTGGCAGGTCGTTCCATGGTCTTGGAGCGGCCGATGAAAAGGTCATCTGGGTGACGGTTGCTAGTTAGATTTTGGAAAGTTGGAGTAACTGTCCCATTGAGGACCTCAGTGTGAGGGACAGATTGCACAGGAGAAGGCGATCCTGTAGATAACCTGGACCCAAACCATGTAGGGCTTTAAAGGTCAAAACCAACACCTTATACTTTGCCCAGAAACTAATTAGCAGCCGGTGGAGTAAATTTAATATGGATGTAATATGCTCACTTGTGGATGTTCCTGTAACCAATCTAGGCTGCCATATTTTGAACCAACTAGAGCTTCCAAACTTGATACAAGGGTAGCCCTATGGCAGAAGTCCAACCCTGAGGTTACCAGTGAGTACACTACCTTTTTAAGGTCCTCCAAATCTTGGAAGGGGCACAGATAGAGTATCACCCAAAGCTGGAAGTAAGCACTCCTGATCGATGCATCAAACTGGGCTGACATTTGGAGAGGGGATCCAGTAGTACTCCCATGCTGTGAACATGGGGGAGTGTAACCCCATCTAGTACTGGTTGACTTACCTCTATCCCCAGATTAGTCCTTAATATGCCACATGTCTCCTTGATGTTTTATCTAAAGATTTTTTAAAATAGATTTTACCACTTGTCCAAGCATTTTTACAAGTCTGCACTCACGCAGATATATTACAGTACATAATTAGTTATTTGCGTCTTTGGGTAATTAATAGTCAATTAATAGTGGTGGTGAGCACCACCACCCAAAGTGGAGTGTGGCCTGGCTACTCATCACTCTGCTATGGTTGTTCTAGTTCTAGTATGCCTTCTAGTTGTTTTCAGCCTATGGTGACCCTCTCACGGTGTTTTCTGGGGCTGAGACTAGATCTACACTGCCATATAATCCAGTTTCTGAATCCAGATTATCTGATTTGAATTGGATTATATAAATCCACACTGCTGTATAATCCAGTTCAAAACAGATAATCTGGATTCAGAAACTGGATTATATGGCAGTGTAAATAGGATGTAGACAAGATGTTGTGCTTGCGCAAGGTAACTCAATGAGTTACCATGGCTGAACAGGGAATTAAAGTATAATGTCTAGAGACAGAGTCCGACGTTCAAACCACCTCACCCCGACTCACTTCTTATCCACTCATCACTCTACAATCATTCCCAAAAGGAGTAAGGTTTAAAATGCTATAACTGTACAACAGATAAAATATAAAATATGAAGCTGGCTGTAAGGATTAATGGAAAAACAACATGCTTGCCCTGAGTTGTAATGGAATACTTTAAAGCATATTTTATATTTAATCTAGACGAGGAGATAATACTTACGTTATCGTTGCTCCCTTTGTTGTCCTCATATTTTGTCTCTATGTGAATTGAGAATTTAGGCAAAAACGAACACTGCAAAGAAAACAAAATATATCAGGATACTTGCAACCATTAATCATTCTGCCAGTTCATACGCTTATTACCAACTTTAACATTTTAGCATATAATAATATATAATCCTCAGGTCTATCTATGTATCAAAAGAAATTGACATTTTTGATCAACCATCTCACAGAACAATGGAATTCCTGCTTCAGAATAGGGAAAGGTGTTCAAAAACAGAATAATCAAGGCTGGAAAAAGATATATTATTTCTAAACACCTATTTTACATGATGTTTTTAGACACAAAACCTTGAAATAGATGGAAAACTATATTAGTCCAAAAGTTCCAACAGCATTGCAGTCCTGAGCAGAATTTTTCAGGCTCAAGAACGGTGTCACAGGCTAACAAAAATGTTGGTTTCCCAGTTAACCAGGAGGACACATTTGGATGTTAAGATAGAAGCTCAAGAATTCATTTCAAGGGCAGACAAGAGCAGAATTAAAGGGCAAACTAAACTTTACATGCCAAAGCTCCGCAGCTGTTACTCCTGAGAAAAAAGCAATTAGAGAAGGAAGATTTCTGTCTACATCCGATTGTTAATTCTCAGTTACAGCAGACCAACGGCATCAATGCTAACGTGTTAAGTCAACATTTATACATATTCCATTGATCCAGTGGGTCTGCTCTAGTTGAGACTAAGCAATTAAACCAGAAGGCAAAGGAACAGAAGGAAAAATATACCCTAATCTCTAGTTCTGTACTCCAAATCATCTCAATACACATTTCCTCCCTCAGAGTTTGAGAGAAGTCTGTATTAAATTAAACCTGTCTTAATTAGCTACTTGCAATTTTATCTATATCTCTAGTAAAAGTGAAAATATGTTTGTATGTAGGTGTGTATGTAGATATATATGTAGATATCTATGTTTGTATGTGAATTTCATGGCCATATCATGAGAAGAAAGGAAAGCTTAGAGAAGAGAATGATGCTGGGGAAAATGGAAGGAAAAAGGAAGAGGGGCCGACCAAGGGCAAGATGGATGGATGGCATCCTTGAAGTGACTGGATTGACCTTGAAGGAGCTGGGGGGGGTGACGGCCGACAGGGAGCTCTGGTGTGGGATGGTCCATGAGGTTACAAAGAGTCGGAAACGACTGAACAAATGAACAACAACAAATGTGGCTTTCAAGAAGGTCCTCACATCCAGAGAGAACTGTGACTCCCATCAATGATAGATCTGGACCAAACTTGGCCCCATACCCAAAAAAAAGTACCATGGGTGGTTCGGAGAAATTAACCTGGAATATTGGGAGTTGTAATTCACTCAAAAATAAAAGGGAACTCTGCACCCAACCGATGGATGTGGACCAAACTTGGCACACATATCCATCATGACCAACTTTAAATCTGGTGTGGTTTGGGAAGGGTGTAATGACAGAGGGTGATTGGAGTTGCAGTCCACCTCTTCTCAAACATAGTACCTCCACCCTGTGATTTATAGTTTCTCAAGGACACCAGAATAAAATATGATTTTTTATTTTCTTTGCTGAACTTCCACAATTCCAGCAAAGAACAATATCGGCAGATAGACCAGTTCATTTCAATTTTTTTATTTTTAATCTGCAGATGTGCGCTGATATGTATCAGCACATATACAGAGCAGACCTGCAACAGCAACTCCCCCTCAAAGCCTTTCTATCATTCCTAATCAATAAAATTTGACTTTTCTTATATAACCTTCTGCCCACTTTATATCCTTTTCTCCCTGTCCTGTTCCAATATGTATTAAAAATATATCAAATATATGTATCAACTATATGATTTCTGCCAAAGCAAGCCACAGGAGTCTTCACCTTTCTACTGACCCCACTGAGGAATTTCCTGGAAAGATGATGCTGGTCATGTCCCCTGGCTGCCCCAGACAAAGGTGACAGTCGGGACCCAATGTGTGAACATGTGAATCAACAGATGGTTTCCACTTCCAATTGGATAAGCACCAGCTGATATTTGTTCAATCAAATGTCCCACTTGGGCTAAGAGATAGCCAACCATAAAAACAAGGACTCATAATATACATCCAAGTCTGGACCCTGATGGCAGGGATCATCACCCTTTGTTTCAGGAACCCTTGACACTTGACTATCATAACCCCATCTTTATCAACCAAAGTCAAACTATTATGCTAGTTAGAGGCTCCTTAAACTATCCAAATATGGTCACAGGAACTCTTTGAAGGGTGTCACCCGCAGCTGATTAGGCTGTCAAAAATGAACCACAGTCATCTCCTTCCAGCTTGGAAAGAATCTCCGCCTGGAACCAGTGACATCAGCAGAGCCCATCCAATCAGAGAGCGGGCCCACGTCAGCCCCTTTTCTCAGCCAATCCAGGGAGGAATCGGGAAGCTTGAATGGAAACTAAACTTCTTCAAAACCTATGTTGTCTGTATTCATTTTTTATGCTTGTACAATTTATTTATGTATTATTTATTTATTTAAAACATTTATATTCCGCCCTTCTCACCCCAAAGGGGACTCAGGGCGGAGCACAGCATATATACGGCAGACATTCAATGCTGGTACACACATTCTTATATACATACATAAACATTAAAAACATTTAACAAAACATTAAAATACACCATTTAAAACCGTACTAGTCATCTACGTCAAATCTAATTGGCCTGGTAATCTTTCCTATTGCTGTTTTATTGCCCTGTCCCAAAAACTTGGTCCCACAGCCAAGTTTTTACCATCCTTCTAAAGGACAGGAGGGAGGGGGCCGACCTGATCTCACCAGGAAGGGAGTTCCATAGCCAGGGAGCAATCACCGAGAAGGCCCTGTCTCTCGTCCCCACCAATCGTGCCTGTGACAAAGGCGGAACGGAAAGCAGGGCCTCCCCGGAGGATCTTAATCTCCGCAATGGTTCATAGGGAGAGATGCATTCAGACAGGTAATTTGGGTCGGGGCCGCTTAGGGCTTTATAGGCCAAAGCCAGCACTTTGAATTGTGCCCGGTAGCAAACTGGCAGCCAGTGGAGCTGGCATAACATGGGAGTTGTATGCTTCCTTTATGCCGCCCCAGTTATTAACTTGGCTGGCTCTCGTTGGACTATTTGAAGCTTCTGAGCAGTCTTCAAAGGCAACCCCACGTAGAGTGCGTTGCAGTACTCTATCCTAGATGTAACGAGAGTATGGACCACCGTGGCCAAGTCTGACTTGGATGGATCATATTAAACCTCTCTTGCTTGTCTTCACCTGGTGAGTGTGTTCTCTGATCTGAAACATTGGGCTGTTAGTGTAATGCTTGCCAGGCATAGGCCTTTCTTATCCATGGTCCATAGCTCTAAATCTGACCTCACACCTATATCCAGAGAGCATTGTGAGCCCACAAACTATGGATCTGGACCAAAGCTGGCATACCCATTGTGAAGTCTCGCCCTAGTAGTTATTTTCTTGTTTGCCTGTTAGACTGTTCCATTCTGTTAAGTTGGTCCATAGCTCTAAATCTGACCTCACACCTATATCCAGAGAGCATTGTGAACCCACAAACAATGGATCTGGACCAAAGCTGGCATACCCATCATGACCAACTTTAACTACTGGTACTGTTTGGGGGCAATGACAGGTAATGATGAGGGTTGTAGTTTACTCAACTCCATCTGCATTTTCGATGGGACCGTTCATAAAATCAAAAAACAATCAATGACTACTGATAAGTAGCGTTACAAAATCCCTAATCAGGCATTGCTGAGTACTTAAGCTAGTAGTATATGAATTTTTGGCTTAGTTATTGTCTGTGTAAAGTGAAATACCATACAAAATACTCTAAAATCATGTTGTAGCTACACACAGCCCAAATGTGAGTGTTGTACTCCAATAGGAATTCTGTCCCCATTGAAATTGAAAAACTCTTCATACTTTGAACTCTAAGATGGTGTTCATATTCCCCAATACATTTTCCCTGTCTCTTTTCTTTGGGTGCCTACGCTATATATCTAAGTGCTCACCTGAGGTTTTCAGTTCCTGCAATGCTAGTAATGTTGGGACTGAAGAAAAAAAATTAGGGGGAGAGGCAAGCTCTTGTTCTTCTATTTCACCATAGCAACCTGTTTAAAGTACAAAATGTACCAGTCTAAAATATAAAACGAAGACATTGCCCTAAAATAGTAGCTGAGTGCAAACATGTCAAATTGAGTGCAGCATACAAAAAAAAAAATTAAAACATTGCTGAAATCTTCCTACTCTGATGGATAGGTTTCACAGCTTTGTGACAAAGCCCCTGCTGTTCATGCAAAAGTTCCAGGTTCAATTGCTGACAAGTTTATTAAAAAAGAAGTATCATGGAAAGAGCCATTGCATCTCCTTGATATTTGAGGCTGCTGCTCCCATTCATTATTAGGGTCATTTCCACACAGAAGTATAAAATCCACATTGAACTGGCTTATATGGCAGTGTGGTCTCAGGGCCCTTCCTAGGTTTTCTGCTTTAAACTGGATTATATGAGTCCACACTGCCAGATGATCTGGGATAAACAGAAAATCTGGGATCAGGTCCTAAGATATAGGGCCTGTCTAGAAGGGCCCTCACATAACCCAGTTCAAAGCAGATATTGTAGATTATCAACCTTGATTTTATTTAATATCGTGTCAGGAGCAACCAGACAGTTGTATTACATTTTTAACAAAACAAACAAACAGACAGACAAAACACAAAGTTTGCAAGATTGGTAGTTGATTAAATGTCCTTTGACCAGTATCTGGCCACTTGGAGTGCCTCTGGTGTTGCCGCAAGGAAGTCCTCCATTGTGTATGTGGCAGGGCTCAGGTTGCATTGCAGCAGGTGGTCAGTGGTTTGCTCTTCTCCACACTCACATGTCGTGGATTCCACTTTGTAGCCTCATTTCTTAAGGTTGGTTCTGCATCTCGTGGTGCCAGAGCACAGTCTGTTCTGTGCCTTCCAAGTTGCTCAGTTTTCTATGTGCCCAGAGGGGTCTCTCATTTGGTATCAGCCACTGATTGTGGTTCTGGG